ACTAACCTAACAAAGGAGCTCTGGTAGCATAGTGGTTACGGATCGGGTTATGAACCGCAAGGTCAGCAGTTCGAAACTACCAGAGGTTCCACGGGAGAAAGATGAGGCATTTTGCTCCCGTAAAGATTTACAGCCTCAGAAACCCTGTACAGGGTCGCTATGAGTTAGAAGACACAAATAACATGCATTAGAAACCACATGGGTGATGTCACAACGGAACCAAAGGAAATAAAAATGATAATAACAGAATACTATGAAGAATTGTATGACAATAAATTTGAAAACTTAGAAGAGATAAATACATTTTTAGAAAAACACAACCTACCTAAACTTACACACAGTGAAGTAGAGAACCTGAACATACCCATAACAAAAAAAGAAATTAATCAGGTCATCAAAAAACTCCCAACCAATATTAGACATGTAAATCAAAAGATTTCACAAAGTGAAAAGAGAACCCATAGACTGGGAAAAATTTTTGACAATGACATATCAGACAAATGACTACTCTCCAAAATTCATAGAACAGTTCAACACCTCAACAAGACAAATAATCCAATTAAAAATGGGACAGAGGAAATGAGTAGACACTTCACTAAAGAAGACAGATATTCAGGCATCCAACACACTTAGGAAGAAATGCCAAAGATCATTAACCATTAAAGGGATGCACATCAGAACAACAATGAGATATCTTTTTTACCCTAGCATTGATAACAAAGTTCAAGGAAACAGAAAACAACAAATGCTGGCAAGAGTGTGAAGAGACTCCAAGGCATATCACCACCACCTCACCACACTGATGGTGTGGTGTGCCATGGAGTTTGTTCCGACTCATAGTGACCCTAAATAGGGTTTCCAAGGCTGTAAATCTTTACCGGAGCAGAAAGCCTCATCTTTTTCCCATGGAACGACTGGTAATTTCGAACTGCTGACTGTGAGCTTAGCAGCCTGACTCATAATCACTATGCTACCAGAGCTCCTACTATGAAATAGTTCAATCACTGTGGAAAACAGTGTGGTGCTTTCTCAAAAACTTGGAAATAGAAATACCTTATAACCTAGTAATCCCTCTATTTGGTATGTATCCTCAAAAAATTTTACAAGTGACACAAATAGATATATGCATACCCATTTATCACAACACTATTCACAATAGCAAAAATATGGAAACAGTCTAAATTCCCATCAACAGTGGAATGGTTAAACAGGCTTTGTACATACACACAATGGAATATTACACAACAATGAAGAATAATGATGCATCTGTGAAACACCTTATAACATGCATGAACCTAGAAGACATTGTATACTGAGTGAAATCAGTCATTCACAAAAAGACAAATATTTTCTGAGATCACTGTTATAAAAAGTTAAGAACATGTTTTCTTGGTAAAAGAAACATTCTAGGATGAATTACCAGGGATGGGAAGGAAGGGAAAATTATTCACTGTGTAGAGGGTAGACACATG